CAATAACATGTGGCACTAATTCTCTGCCCTGTCGATACACGTTGGGAGGATCGATATTATGTAACTGCTTTTCATCAACTGTTAGCTATTGCGCACCCACAGTTCAAGTCGAACACCCCCCTCCCAAATGGTTGTGACATAATTCAATATTTGTGGTACATTTCGAGACGGTAGAAGGCAGAAAGCAAGGGAGGACCAACTTACTTCTCTGTGTTCTTTGAAACTCTGAAGAGTTGACAGACTCACACGGTTTGACTGTAGGTTTTGCGGAGCAATGATGATTTCTCTGAGCTCAGTTAGCCGTTGTCGGATTATTGAAGATTTGAGAAGTGTCCGTACTTTGAAGATGAAACACCTGCGAGAACTAGAATCTCGTGGGTAGGGTTTCGTGGGCGTCGTATCACTAGAGCTCCTAAGAGGTTATCGTGGGCATCATAAACTGTGTAAAAAAGGAGAAATAGAGCATAACAATTTTGTTTAAAATGTAGCCTTCAAGCATAAACCCCAATCCCGATGGCTCTAACTTTCGGACACAGAGACGGGAGAAGTCTGGCCCTAAGTTGCCTGAGGCAATTTATTCTTGGATCTGCTGGGAGCCCCGCGAGAACTCAAATCTCGTGGGTATTTCGTCGTGTATTATGTTTCTGAGATCCGTAATAAGAATCAATGGGCTTTTCCCCACTGGGGTTTATTTGTGGGGCTTTTGGAATTTGCATAGGAACACACGGAGAATTGAAGTCTCAAGTGTAGACCGGCATCAATAATTGGAATCAACGTACCTCAATTGTGTTTTTCCCAGTTGAGAGTTTATGGGAACCTTTGAACCTTTCTCAGAGGGGTCTTCGAGAATTGAAACTTAGAGGTTAGGGTTTATTGACATTTATGTGGGGAAGAACGTATTTCAATGAGCTATGATGAAGAAGTTGACCATGTGCCACGAATAATCTGAGCCATGTCGACAATATATGTTATTGGATGATGATGAAATGATGAAGGGAGAATGAAAAGAAGGGATGGATGTTAGAGGTTTGTTGGTGATGAGTGTTGAGAAAATGGTGTGATGAGTAAGAAGAAGAAGAGAAAGAAGAAGAAGAAGAGGAAGTGAGAATTTATTGAGAGAAAACCCAAGTAGGGGATACTAAACTATCTGCTATCTCGCTCGTACAACTTTGCATGGTCGTGTTTTTCTTAAGTGAGGATGCGATTGACTAGTTTGAACTTTGTTCACGATTTGATTTTGAAATGGCAGGAGTGACGGACCGCGATGGGAAGACCGGGAAATCCACAACCATATCTAATTTCAAGATTCTGAAAAAGGGGCAAGAACAACCGCTAATTCGTTTCTATCATTTAGGTACATCCTGAGAGACAAAATCATGACCTCCGAGGTGATTGGCACGCAGAATATGTTTTTACGCAGATGAGATGCTGTGATATTCATCAATCATTTGTAAGGGGCTCTGGGTTTGAGAAGTACTACCGTCTTTGACTTCTACAGTCAATTAACTGACTTGAAATTAGTACAAATAATACTTCACATGAATACCGTGTTGAACGGACGGAATTTCAAAAACGACTACGATGACTATCTACCCTCACCCCATTATACACAGACTTCCAAAGGACAAATATCAAAATCGATGTAAGAACCCATCCCTAACTAAAAGTTTTACAACAGATTCCTAACTTTTCAACACCATATCGACGCTCTGTACTGAGAAAAAAATAATTTGAGCGATTATTTTAAGCGAGAATGTCACGGGGGAAAAGGGGATTTTGGTGTTCGAGTGTGCGGTTGAGTTATATGGGGTAGAATATTTACTATGGGTTTCTCTACTTTGAATGTGTCGATCTATTGAGAGTATATATATATATATATTATGGTAAGCGTTTAATGGAGATTAATGTTGAAGTTATAAGATTGATATTGCGTATCGTTTTGTCTAACTAGGAATTCTAGAGATGATTCATGTGTCTTTAATATTAACATAAGTAACGAGCTTCCCGCCCACACACCCGATTGAGTTATATATACAATTGGATCTTTGATATGTCGGTATCTGTAATCATCTCTTCTAATTCGGAGACTTTACAATCTTGAAATTATTGCCATAGCCTCCTCTCTTAAATGACCGTGACCCCCTGCCCCCCAAACATCTTTGCGATATAACATCAATCCCTCAATAACAGCCCAGCCAATAATCATCTAATACTGGATTCTCTTAAATAGAGATGATGTCAATTCGAGATAACCTAATATCTTGAATCCATCCCCGGAGTTCCGAGCAGGCTCAATCTCATAACTATTCGTTTCCTAATGCATACCATATTTGCACCTAGAATTTCGAGAAAATATAGAGTATAAAATACAAATTTTGAAGAATAAGGAATATTGGGTCCAAAATTAGTGATGTGGTTAGAGATATTAATAATGCCCTTTACCCTGAGCGGAGGTCCCGGCCAACGACAGGTCAACCCTTTGCGGGACTCCGCGTCCGGTTCACTCGCAACTCAAAATATGGAGAGAAATGTGCAGAAATCATCGCTACTAATGAAAAAATGAGATATGGAAAACAATAAGCAAAGCTTGTTGGACTATAACTTCCGTAGATTCTTCTATATTTTTGCCTCTTATTTATCACAACAATTAACTATCCTCGAAACAGCATCGGAACGCTGCAGTAAAGAGCTTCCAAGGCACGCACCGTCTAGTTTTGGTACCGCCAACATCAACCAATCCATGGATCTTCAATAGATGTGCAACAAAACACACTCAGTTCTCGAAAATTTGCTGGAACTGTACTGACGGTTAGCATGACTGGTTTTTTCCAGACTTGATTTCTTGCAATGCCCCACTTGGAGCTAAATCTCAGAGTGGTTATCTTTTAAAACTAGTGCCCATTTGATCCAAGATTAACCCCGCGTGAAATCGATGGTATTTTGCCTTGATTTCTACCTCCAGGTGTCTGAATCCTGACAGGAGTGAATGTCGAATTTTTTTATAGGAAAAAATGTACAGAGCTATTTCAACATACATATTTCATCAGAAACGATGGAAGTACTCAACATTTCGACAATCTTCAGCATGGATTCAACTTGAGAATGAAAATCAAGATGAAAAAATCCATTGCTCAAAAGGAATTCAACGATTTTGGAACATCAGCTCAGAATAAGGAATTGGTCGCCGAATGTTACAGCCGTTGTTGAAGGACCTTGAAAATATCAGGTCCATTTTGTCCTCCTCATAAGTCCAATTGCAGTTCGACGACCAAACGGAGTTAATCCCTGAATCCAGTCTGAACGACCAAAGAGTTTGAGATCTCAAAATTATTTTTAATTAAAGGAATAATGAAGTCGATTGATGCATTTCCTTAGATGCAGAATCTACAGGACATTAGAAGGCAGACTTAGCGTTAAACAGTAAGCATATAATACTATGGAAATCACACATCTTACCATTCTGTTTCCCTAATTAAATTTCTTCAAAAGACTTCTATTGATTGTTTAGGTTTGTTTTTCGTCCCATCATGAAGATCAAAATGACGTTGAGAGGATATCCTGGCTTGGTCTTGATGATCTTGGCTCCGTCACCTCACTAGTGAATAGCAAACTCGCTAGACCATTTTTCGCTAAAATCTGCTTTGTGGGATTCGTGTCACCACACTGCACTTTTACTTCCTTATATCGAATAAAGGGACCAAATTCAAATGAAGACATATCAAAGACACCATTAGCAGGAATGACTCATATTGGTTCCTTCGATCTCAGACACGCCGATTTGAACACAACAATGCCTTGGTTAAGTAGCGAACTTTAGTATATACGAAACCACAAAGATTGTTATGATATCACATGGGTATTTGGGAGCTACTCTGGATGGAAATATCTAGCCGGTTTCTGGATGAATCTCAGTGGGACAAGCTTTCTAATTATGATGGTATCATGCGTTTTGTATGTAATGATCTGACATTGGAAATGTATGGATCCTGTTGAGAAAGCAGTGATAAGTAAACAGGAAGAGGTAAATTCAGTCCCGGAAAAGGACATTTTACCTGAACTTGGAGTTACAATCAAAGGGTCATTTGAAAGGTTATTCAGCAGTAAATGGCGTTCAGAACCATTGACTCTCGGATTTTGCATTACATTCGTCACTGTCTTATGGAAAATTGTAAAATTATACAATGTAATGCACAGGGGATCTTGATCACGATCTTTTATGGCTGGATTGTAGAATTATGTTTCATAAAATTTCATTCTACATGATGAGTATCAGCTTAGAAACCCATTCAATTATCCTCATCAGGCACGAACACCTTTCAGTCCAAGTAAATGGAAAGATTTATCAAATATGAATGTTGGTGACAATTTTTCCAAGAGTCTTAGATACCCAATCCGATTCTAGTATTCTACTACTGATAGATCAAAGGATTATAATACCATTCTTAAGCCCGGGAAAAGAAGGTATTTTGCTACCCTCTTGAATTAGAATGCAGCAACTTCTGTTTTTAGTATTGAGTATTCGAAAGAAAAATTATTTTCCGCTAGTTCACATGCATTGGGTGCTTCTTGAGGAAGGTGCGGACTGTTTATCCACCCTTCCATTTCTTCACAACAACTCACGCCCTTCATTTTATGGTGCCGCCTATCTTCAGTCGTGGAATTTGCTTTCTTCCAAAATCCCCTTGATTATATGAAACTTTTTGTTTCATAATAATTGCCACGAGGAAAACCATTCCCGAGTCTGCCAGACCATCAAATTAATCGGACTTCACTCTTCACAATCCATTACATCCTGTTAAATTTCCCTTCCACGATATGCGAGATATGTCAGGAGAGATTATCCAAAACACCGTTTAAACAATGTTTTCACTGGATAGGTGTCATTTTGAGTCTTCTCATATACTTCATCCCGTGTTTGATTTTTTACCATTGTAAGCATTTTCTCTTCCCAGTCTATACGGTCGAAATGAGCTCTTGCAAAAGTTGTATCGTATCAACAAATGTCCAACCAAAATCTCAAGGTATTCATCAACACACCATTCGCTCAGTTCCCTAGCTCAGATCCAATACCTATATTGAAAAACATCACACGTCTTGGTCCCGTGATTTCGAACATCTCAATGTAGCACCATGGCTATGTGCATTCATCGACGGAGCTGGTCCTATTCGTCACAACCCCTCGGAATTGGACTGCAATGATGCTACACGGATGTATCAAACATATACTGGCTGGATTAGTCTGGCTTATGTTACAATCAGCTTCGGTGAAGGGTTTTTCGTACTATGGCTCATGACAGGCATTTTGTATGAGTGCGTATTTAATCGGAAGTGCCCATGCGACAAGAGTTGTGGAGTTAGTCTAAATGCAAGCGAAGAAGTAGGCCAGAAATCGAATGTTCGAAAACACGAGATGACATCTCGGGATGCGAGCGAGGAAGAAAAAGGACAGATATCTTTAGTCGGCTTACGATACGACAACGAGAACAAAATTAGGGAGAAATGCTTCGTTGAATTCATACTGAATGTGTTCTGGAGTAATCGGTGGACAGATCCTACATTTTTGCTCTTTACTATTCAGAACCTGTGCATATACTGGTTCTGTTCCATAATTGCATGCGTGTTGATCTCGTTCGTCGTATCCAAGGCTTTAGATAGGTTAAGTCGGAAAAGTTAGAGTTTGCAAACAATCAGTCGGGGACTGTAGGTACAAAAGGGTTCATGTGGTATAACTAGCGTATTCACTTAGTATTAAGTCTCCAATCATTCTACATGAGTTACTTGGAAGTCCCAGATGAACTCAGCCACTGCTCAACCTGTTCAAGGCAACCCTGAAGTTGTGCCAAACAAGCAAATATTTCCCTATTTTGATCTAATCTAATCTCGAACTACCGGCATGACTATGTCGACGGTCTCTTCAACCTGCATGATTAATTGGAAGAATTTAGAGTCCCTCAAATTTCCAGAAAACGACAGTACGCCGATACAACATGAGATTTCATCAAAAATTTCCAAACTGCATTGATATATCTAAATTGCCCATGATTTCAGCTAGAAGGCATTCGATGCACTGTCCAAATCGGACTTATGGCAAAGTGAAAGCTCCAATATCACTTCTCACAATAGCTGTAAGAATCCAGAAGTATCTATAAAAGAATTGATGTGCAGTGCTTACAATCGGTGAGCCGGGCTATGTAGTTGAATCGAGTAAATTGTAAATTAGATTGAGCTGTGTAATATCAAATGATGGCCCATCACTGATTGATTTGAGTTAGTTTTTTCAAATTTTTATAGATTGGTTCAAATTCTCTGAACGGTGAATTATGGGCACTTGTCTCCTCTAGTCAATAGATGAACCGGGTCATAAGTGACCCAATAGTCTTTCGTAGGGGATGCAAATATGACTTCCACGTCCTTGTGGTGATACACAATTCTTTTTCAATATTCCAATTATCTAGGATTATGTTCAAGAATGGCAAGCCAAAGGAGAGGACCGACATTGAAGATACACCTCACTTCTTCACGAACATAGGTAGCTGGTGTCGGCTAATAGAAGCACACTTCGAGGATATGGAAGTAACACAGGTCATTTTCAGGCTGAGCCACCTTGTTGAAGAGTTCCCCTCTGTGATTTTCTACACACTATTCCGTAGAAAATATGCAACTCTGAAGCTAGATGCACGTACCACAAGATGATAAACTACAAGAGAACTAAATTGATTCCCTTAGCATGAGAGTTGCGTACTTTCTGGCCGCATTAGTAGACCAATCAACTTCCCAAATAGTTGGGTAGACAGCTAATTGAATGAATCTCTCTCTTTCCTGCCTTTCACAACTGTGGGGGGAGTCGATGCATAGGCCATTTAGCCTCGAGCTAGCTCCAGCAAGCGAGTTCCTCATACGCATCAGGAGTGCCGAGTGAGCCTGACGCGAATAAGCGATGTATGATCGTCACTAATAGCGTCTTGGCATGGATTTACACAGGGTATGCGGACGAAGAAATGTAAGTGAAACTTTTTGGAACATGTCGTTTGCTCTTTTAGGTAAACAACAGATGAAATGAAGAGGATCATGGATACACACACTTCAATCTAACCAGAGCATGGCAAATGTCTACGGGGCGGTCCACAAGCTCCGGTAGTTCTGGCTTACTCTCTTTTTTGTGGATGAGGTGTATAAATGGACAATATAAGTATTGCGAACCATGCTCCCCGGATACACGTTATAGCGATAACTGTCGTCATTTTTGTTGACGTTGACGCTCGATGCTCGGGATTTTGATATTGGGGTTGCGCGGCATGTAATCATGGCCCTAGTTGAACTTTTGCTATGTGGAATATAAGTTTGGGGTCATTGGCATGGAGAATATGTATCATCACACACAAACTCTACGTTTATTTCAACAAACCAAGGCAGGATGCGCTCTTCAACTTCCTACCTACCGCTGGCAGCTAGCTTGCTACAGCATCCTCTCTTTATTGCCAACTGGGGAACAGTGTAAGGAAAAGCCGTACTCAACATTTCCGTTGCCTCATATGTTCCAAATTGGGCCGACGTATCTTTCTTTGGTGGAATTCCCTTCGGTACCTCTACCGGCGGAGCAAATCGATGGGCACCATCAAAACCCGCATTTCCATGGAATGGTACACTCGATGCTTCGGACTTTGGCCCGATCTGTCCTACGTCCAACATGGCTCTTACTCAATATGATATGAGTGAGGATTGTTTGACTCTTAATATTTGGACCCCTGCCACTTCCAGCGATGAGAAGCTGCCTGTTGCTTTTTGGAGTTATGGAGATGGAACAGCGCCTCATCAGTCTCAGTTCAACGGAGGAGGTATGGCTGGAAAGGGTAATGTTTTTGTCACCCACAACGTAAGTCATTTGGATTCTTTGGTTTATCAATCCTATCCCAATGTTTGTGATTAGAGTCTTCCAAAAGATCGATCCATTTAGTTAGTATCTAGAAGGTATAGCTAGGAGGGTAAAGCTAATTATTAAATCTTAGATAGTACCGAAACGGTATGTTGGGATTTTTAGCTGACTCCCGTCTCAGTGAAGAATCTAGCAACAGCACTGCAGGTAGTAATTCTACCGGTGATTGGGGAGTTCTTCACCAATCCCTCGCCATTGAATGGGTCCACGAGAACATTGCCACTTTTGGAGGTGATCCCAATCACATCACCGTAATGGGACAATCTTTCGGATCCGCTGCTACCTACCACATTGTCAACAGTAACCTCACAGCCGACAACGGTATCGTAGGTGCTATATCCGAGTCTGGTGTACGTTCACCAAACGATGTTTATACCAGCTACATTGCGCTCTCATATTTCAATCAAACCGCTGCTGAAGCTCTTGGAGCCGAAGCTTTTGAGGCCTCAATGTCACAACTGTCGAAGAAGCTCGAGCACTAACATATGAAACCATCATTGCGAACACTGGAGCTCAAGATCAACAAGTTAAGCCTGTACTTGATTACCATGCCATCCCCGAGAAATCCATCGAAACACTCCGCGACGGAGCCGGAAACCCCGTTCCATATATTATTGGAGGACATTCAGATGAATACGGTGTATCCGACACCTTCACAACCACTGCCGCCGATTATGCCGCCGGTAATTATGGCGATTATGCTGATGAGTTTACCTAGCTTCATGGCTAGAAGAACCCATACAAGAATACAAACTCTGCGATTTTAGGAGATACAGGTCAGCAGACCACGAGAATTACCATCACTAAACTCTCCACCATAACCAATTAGTCCAACTACATAGTCTCGAGCTAATTACTCCCAAATCATCATTATAAAATCTATTCTCATCCCAAACTTTGACTTCCTGCAAAAGAATTTCGTCCAAATCCCCTTGTGAAATCCAACATCTCATTTTCCCCATCAACTCCATTTCTCAATATTCAAGCCAGTGAGAAAGAATCAAAGCCATTTATTACAATGACGAAAGATCAACTCCCAGTCTTTAATGACGAGAAGCAAGACATAATCTGCAACAAATGTCTTGCTGAAGCCAAAAAAGTCAAGATGGATTCAGATATCACAATTCACACCCACAAACCCGATTCCGTCTCGTCTAAAGCCATTCGCTACCCAAAATATTATACTACAGAAATATGTATCTTATCCCTGATCGTCATGACTCCTTCTCTATTAATCTGTCTTCTCGTACGTGAACCATCCCAAATATCCACGATTCCCATCTCCCTAATCCATCAAGAAACAGATCTCTCTCTTACCCAGCTAAAATATAGCCAACCACCACGACAATTCTACCCAGATCATCTATCAAACAATCACTCATTCCGAAAGCTGGAATTCCAAGACCAAATATCATCCTCTGAGATACACACTCAGAGAATCTCAGTTTTCTCCCACACAAATCGAATGGGGAAATAAATATGTGTTACCCTCAACACGATTTATCTTTTCAGCCGTCATATGGGAGGAATGGGTTCTGGGCTCTTGTTTTGGCGCCATATTGATGATGACTATGATAATGGTGCTCCTCATCAATATTCACATGCGAGGATATTTTAAAGCGCGTCAATTGGATGACGGTGAAAATATGGGCGCTGGAGAGAAGAATGTATGGTGTTGATCTATCGCAAAAGTGGTTTCTTCCGACGAATTTCATTTTACAAGCTATCGTAATACATTTGATGATGATAAATTTCATATGTGTTGTATTGCGATATCCAAGGGCAATAAGTTATCATTTTCTCAGAACTCAGAACTAGATGTTGTCTCCAGCCAGAGAGTGGAGACTTTGAATTATCATACAACTTTTCAAAAGATGGTTTTATTTTTGAGTCTCTTTTTTCAAGACGACCATAGCTAGGCTGGTTGGTGTCACTATTTTCAGGGAAAGGTAGAAGAGAATCCTTTCCAGCATACGAGTGAATCTCCCAAAGATCCTCCAACATCTAGATATGGCAACAGAATAACAACGATATATCGTGAGCGATACTAGAATTTCGAGTCCCTCAAGACTTGGCTTGTTTATCTTGGAATCTTCGAGTTCTGAAAACCGCTGGTATGGTATCGCCTCCCGAAATATAAACTCATTCCTTCTCTCGTCCAAAGAGAAAGGTTGGGGTGTAGTTGTAGTATGCTGGTTAATAAGTAGGACTGTTACTGTTTAGTTGCATGTAAATGCTAGACGAGCTGATGATAACTCAGAAGATGCATCATAAAACTCCCCAGCTCCACATCTCTTCCCAAGCCGAACGCAAACTCAAGCCCAAACGCAAATTGCCCAGTACTATACTGAGAAGTAGATGTATAGATTCGGAGGAGATCGCTTTGTAATTAATCATTCCAAAGCAAAAATCAGAAGCACTTAACAATTATTTTCACCTTGAAGTTTTAACCACATCATCTCATCATGTTCTCTCAAACTTCCACTGCACTGTATGAAACAAACAAGCAGACAAACAAACTCAAAATAACCAAAAGAATAAAAAAATCTATTTATACCCAACAGAATAAATAGCCAGTATACAAAATGAAGATAGCATTGTCCAATACCGATAATATACATAACATGATTTATATCCGGACAATTTGAAGATACCCTACTCTATCGCCCTATGATGAGCAGTCTCATCATCCCAATGCATGCGCAATTTCAATGCCCAACGTTAAATGCAACGCCTATTCCATAAAACTCAATGCCTCGTTAAAATTATCATCCATACATTATAGTCATTCAGCTTCCGCCTCCTATGAAACGCCCAATCCAGTCCATTTCCCTTCTGTATGCGTCAAAATTCCCTACGACCCGTTTGCAATGGCGAAATTCCTTCCCAAGAGTGTTTTCTTTACACTACTCCATAGGAGCAAAGAATCGACTTGCTTCAATAATATCTTTATCACCATTTGCAAAATCCCAACCAACAATCGTGGGTGTTTGACTACAGCAAATGATTCTGCGAGCATCAAATTGAAGTTTGAAAACACGAGCATGTTGTGGATGTGGATTTTGTATTGGGTGATGAGCAGGACCACCTAGTGTTACTCCAATATTAGATATTCCCGACGCATTTGGTAACGATGGCACTGCAGCCGTGAATGCATCGTTCTGTAATGAAGCGTACAAACCACGTGTATCGTAGCCTTTTGCTTGTAAAGCTGCAATGAGGACTTGACTCATCAAGTTTCTTGTGTGCTCTGGTGAGCGAGCGATGGCAAGTCTCAAATATTCATTATTCAATAATTCCGGGTACTTGTTGAGTGTTTCAAGTAGGCCGTTTGCACCAGCAGCGACCGCGCTGTTAATCTGGATTTCTGGAGCAAGGTTTGTCATATCAGGCAATGGGACCTCGTTGTTTGGTGGGCCAGGCACCGTTGAAGTGGCCCTCATTAGCCATGCTGGATTCGTGTTGGGTTTTCGAGGTGTTCTGGCCCACATTCTAATTGCAGCCCGGGACCCTTCTTCTTGTCGAAGGGTATGTTGGGGCTTCCATACACCTTCTTTATCCCTCCGCCATATATGAATCGACTCATCATAAGATCCAGAGACGATACGGCTGTACTTACAGCCTCCTCCGCCTGGTGGTAACTTAGCACCAAAAGCAGTGATATTTTCTGGTCTTGAGGACCCGGCATTCTTTAGACGACTTGATTGATGAGTTTGATCGACGATCCCACCATTCACAGCTTTGAAATATTCCCTATCAATTCTCTTTGCATCCTCTCTTTCTTCTTCTGCACTGTATGGCAAATCGCCAAATCCGGCCTGAACAGTTCTTACTAGGTTGGTATGACCTCTGAGGCTGGCTACTTCGAGACCGGATTCTCTGTCGAAGACTTTAACCTCATTATCACTGCTCCCACTCACTATCCGACGCCCATCATATTGAACACATGCAATTCCCTTGCTGTGCCCAATCAGAGTTCGAGTGCAAGTGTTCTTTCTCCAGTTCCAGATTTTTACAGTTCGATCACCTGAAGCAGACACGACTTCATCGCCCAATACTTGAACAGCATTAACAGCCGCTCCGTGACCCTTTAGCTTGCTAATATTTGTATATGGTGGTATAATTCTCCATCCTACAGGGTGGTTTTCGAAACCAAGGTTTTGTATTTGAATAGAAGCTGTATCATTCATGAGACTTTGCTCGCTGATAGATCGCCGATTAAACACTTTGATGGTTTTGTCTTTCGAACAGGTGACCAGAACGTTCTTGTCAAATTTGACATTCAAGACCGATTCTCTATGTGCCGATGTTAATCGCTGTATTACCTTACCCGTCGAAAATCGCCAAATAATGACAGTAGCATCACTGCTACCAGAAACGATTATATCCTCTGCGGGATCTGGGTCGAACTGGAGACAGAGTACAGATCCCCCATGTTCTGCCAATGGAGGAAGAGCAAGACGTCTTGTGTCCAAGTTCCAGATCCGTATAGTTTTATCACGGCTACCACTGACTAGATAATTTTGAGTGTGCTGAATGGTGTAGATACATTCTGTATGACCTTCCTCCGGATAGTGAGGGTGTGGTAATTGAAAGTTGGTAAATTTGCCAGCTTCCCAGTTCGCTTCTAGGCGTCTTCTCTGTGTATAGAGATAATGCCAATTGAGTTTCTCTTCTCCACTGCTTCGATCCACAATCGCTAATTCATGTCCTTGTCTAGGAGAGGAAACTCCCTTTCCTTTCCATTGGGCGGCACCTCCATCTGTGCTAGAAAATAATGTCCGGTCCTTGTCACTATCCGCTGATAATATTGGTGCATCCATCATGATCGAGTCTTCAGCAAGGGGACTTTGTCTCATGTCCCTTGTGCTTGCCGGGCCAAATATTGACGTCTGTTTCATCATATTCGATCCTCGATTATCATCATCGACATCCGGGTTTGGTAATATTTGCTGTATATTGCCCCTCGTTCTGCGGTCAACTGAAGGATTGAGCTCGAAGCTATTCCTTGGACTCCACCATCGTGATTGTCCGCTGGGGAATTCGAACTTCATAACTTCCGAGTGAACGACTCTGAACCCATCTCTTATATACAATTGCTCCCATAACTTTCGATCGAAGCATAACATCTGCCAATGCCGCGAGGCGCGGGCGGTTCGGATTAGTGATACAGGATCAAGGAAGCCGAGAATCCTCAAACATATCTCTGAGGGTAAGTGGAGGGAGAAATCCATTTTGAGCCGTGGTTTGAGTCGTCCCACTATATCCCATACTTCTGACGTTGGCAATTTACTCATGATATCTAAAATGCATTCTGGAGAGGGTTAGTTGTAAGAGACGGAAAGTATTGAAAATCCCATGAGAAAGTAGAAATGAGTTCACCAGGATGATGATGCGATTGTTCCTTACCTGCGCGATCTTCAGTAGACATCTCCGCGAGCCATGAAGGCAAGTCCTCGAATTTTGGTTGATTAAAAACAGTCAAAGGATGTTCGCTGTACCCTTCATCAAGAGGAGACCTCCGAAGAGAGTTGGACATGATGGAGTGTCTTGGAACCTAGGAACCAGGGAATCTGGGAATCTGGGAACTTCAGACGTTGTAATGATGCTTTGGTATATTTGACTTTAACCTTTGAGAATATATTAATAAGAGTGCACTCGACTGAACGTGAGCCTCTAATCAAATCATATCATATATGACCTTTATTTTCAACCAAAGATGTCGTAGTAATTAACTATGTTTTTTTTGTTTTGTTTACAATCGAGATGTTTAATGGTACGCTGTATGTACTATGCACATTGAGTTCCGGCACGGATCACACGCAGACTAATAAGATACCTACGGACAGTACCTGGTCGATGTGTGATAAAATACGCTAAAGCCACAAGGCTGGAGGAATTTAACACTACGCGGAGTCAAGACTTAATTCAGGAAGGGCTTAAGGTTTGCCATCTTTTCTTTTCTTTTCTTTTCTTTCCTTTCCGTAAAAGGCAATTCTCACTACCTGTTAAGGGACCGACTATCTCAGAAGCTTAAATTGATATTCGAATGGTACCGATATAGCAATAGGAGTGCGGAGTACTTGATATTTGGGCAAGATTTATAAGATTCATATAAGGATGAATTCGTCACGAGCATTCAGGTAAGGATTCGAAATAGAAGCTTCAAAAACATACCTCGTACCTACAACTTTATATACCTGCGTGCGTGGCTGTATGGCATTCACAAAGTAGTACTCGTAGTCTTTGATCACTTTCCCAGTCAAGCTGTCATTTATATGTACTCGATACGGACAGATCTCTATCGAGTGTTCGAACCGAACAGAGATCTGAAGGCGAGAGTCTCGATGAAATCGGGATACTTTGGTAATACTTTAAGTTTTGTATCTGCTTACTAGATAACCTGGACTCGGAGTGTAAGAACGATGTGTGTCGGAGTCAGTTTTGGTCCAATAGATGACTAAATGGAGGGATGAATGATGATGATGATGATGATGAGTGACCTTTGTTGATGGGGAAGCTGTGAGGCAAGAAAAGAGAAGGAATGAAGGATCGATCTTATCCTGGAGATAGTATACTTTTAGATTTCGGAGTCTACCTAGGTGTCTACCTGGGTACCTACCTATGTCTGTACCTAGCTAGATCACACTCACCGATAGACATATTCGGATTCCGGGTTTACTCCTTTGATCATCAAGTAATATGAAGTAAAGAAGAAGAGGTACCGACGAGATACATACCTAAGGGAAAAGGGTAGTGGAAAACTGGAAAGAAAAAAGAGAGAAAGAAGCCTCTTCGGGAGAGGACACTATTGAAAGGTTAAAGGATAATAACAGGAAGATTTTGGCGATTCGATTTTAAGGACTCAGTTTAGTTGATCCACTCCACGGAATATGCAAGTAAGATATTACCACTTACCAACATTAACCTTTAATTATTAGGGATTCCTCTAGTGTGCCTTAGAAGCGTTGTACAACGAAAGTAATTATTTGCATCGCCTTTGAGAAACTCGGCGGAAACAGAGTGGAGGCATTCATTCCTAGCAACGGTAACGGCGTCGCTAGAAATTACTGCACGGAGCACTAGATAGCTAGCTAGCTAGAGAGGTACTGTAGGTATGTGTTGCAAATCGCCTCTTTCCCATAGTGCCGGTCTGGTTTACGTACATCTAGGAAAGAAGATATGCCCGAAACATCTCAACCGATACCCGATGGAGTACCGGTACGGATATGAATGTTGATGTTGATGATAGTGCGGGCGTAGAAGGAATCGTCATATGTTCTATTTAGGTAGGTACCTAGTGATGAAGCTTTATCTGACGATCAAATACAAGTTGTGAAAAGCTTCGGGTGAAAACATTCCCTAGGTATGTTTGAGATTCTATTGAATGACCGACAGTACAGGAAGGAAGGAGACTCAATTAAGATGATGTGATAGATTGTATGTAATATGTAATAGGCAATTGATCAGTGTTTTGATATTAGATTTATGGATTGTAAGATCTTGATAGGAATCACGGTATTGTACACCGGAAACGATGGATTCCGTCGGGTTGGAAGTAAACATACAGACTGCAGTCACTACAATAACGTATTTGAGTGTACGAGGAAGAAGATGAAATGATACTCCGATCCAGAAGATACCTACCTACCTACCTATATACTAGATAGGAGTGGCAGAACATCGATACCATTCTAGCCTTTATCTGATGTTGGCGGTTCGTTACCAACCATCAAACCCAACGAATACATATTACCTACTTGCCGCCGGTACCTAGGAGGGAATGAATAATCGGTACATGAATATTATCACTATGGTCAATCACCTGCAACTAAACCGTTTCTAGATCTTTCAAATCTTCCTTCCATTAACCCTTCCCGAGCCCTTCCATTTCCTTATCCATCTCTTGCCCAAAACTCTGTTATTTATTATCATGGTTTAAGCAACTTAGCGCATAACTTAATCCATAGCGAAGCAACACTCCTGAGACAAGATTCAAATCAAACACGACCCTCCCCCCCCCCCCCTTCTCTTCCCTCTCTTACACACCCATACAACCCAATCCGAATCCACTTCCACCCGACTTTCATACATACATACATGCGTCCTTCCTTAGACTCAGACTCCTTCCAAACCTTTACTCCCACCTAGCAACCCTCCCCCCCCATCATCGAAAAGAAGATATATGAAAAAGGAGGAAAACAATACATGATACATGGTACCTGCCTGATACATGATTCACGAACCCACGACTCACGATAACACCATTCACAATTTCACATACACAAATCAAGCAGGACCTGGTGGACGGTACAAATCAGTTACTAAGCACTCTTGTACACAGTGTTGACATTGACCCGCAATCAAATGTATTCAAATCAACAAACTTGAAATCCATCAATCCATCCATCCATCCACAATCCCAAATTTATCCACTTCCCCACCGAAACAACCCTCCAACGAAAACGTATTGCGAAAGAAGACCTCCAGGACCACACACCGTAGCACTCGACTCGAGCAGACCACACCTCCCCCCATCCACCTGCCACCTGCAGTTCAACCCCGTTACAATCTACATTGTCCAATATACATTTTATTCTTCCCCTTAAAGCGGAAAAGCGGGATACTTCTAAAACAACTTATCACAATTTAATTCTTCGTCAATCATTTGAATCATTCAACTTTCATGTCATCTGGCGGTGTTGCCATTCGTGTGGCTCAGTCTCAATCTCATGGACCTCTTTTGAGAACGAATACAGCGCCTGTATTCAACAATAGAAGCGCCGAGGGCAACGGAATCAGTTTGAGTCAAACAATGAGCCATAATTCACGATCGTCGCAGCTCACGGGCTCGACTGCCTTCACGACTTCCTCTACGACTTCATTAAATTCTTTATCTACTTCTGCGACACTCGTTCCAGCCCCGCTGGTGATGCCAGTGCAAGGCGGAAATGTAATCGCGACAAACAATATCATCAACCAAAGAGCCGACGCCTCGAGATCATTATATCAAATATGCGTCAATTTACGACAGCGACTAGCACAAGTTCCTGGATTCAACGGTCATTTCGTTGATTCAGACGATGAAGATGAAGCCGAGGAGGACATGGACCCTGTGTCCTCACTTTGGCGATGTCTGCGAAAGGGAACTCCATTGGTAACGCTCTACAATACCCTACAACCAGCAGAGCCTCTGCCATTACCTGACAACAAGATGGCCGAACCAAAGAAGTCTAAGATGGCAGCATTCAAGTTTGTTGAGGCATGTATGAAGGATTTGCAAATACCCCCGGGTGATGTTTTTGCTCTCTCAGATCTTTTTGGTGATGACACGACTGGTTTCGTGAAGGTACGTCTATTTCTATTGTGCTTTTGTACGCGGACATTCTATGACATTTTAGTGAGGAGCGCTGTCTTCACACGAATCAAATGGTGTACCAAGGGACAAATTAAGGGATGAAATCTGAAGACGGTCCACGTCCTCTTCTAGCGCTCTAGTGAACCCGCGACAGTTTGCGCTTCTTGTTTCTTCAATCACAACTTTTTTTGAATCATGAGATCCCCCGCTTACCACTTTGCACAGGTCACCCAAGTTATCAATATCGTTCTTGATGTGGCGGGACAGCGTGGCCTGCTTCTCACATCTCAAGCCGAGGATACTAACGAGTCTGCCACTGCCCCTGGCTCTAAGATGAGCTATAGGCAGCATGTAGTCCGGGAATTAGTCGACACGGAACGCAAATACGTCCAAGATTTAGAAAACCTGCACGAACTAAAGAAGACAATTGAACAAAAGGGCGTTATTGCAGGCGATGTCGTACACGATATATTTCTTAACATCAATGCGATTCTCGACTTTCAACGCCGATTCCTTATCAAAATTGAGACTACAAATTCTCAACCAGTAGACAAACAAGAATGGGGACTACCCTTCAGAAATTATGAGGAAGCATTTGGCATATACCAACCATTTATTGCAAATCAGCGAAAAGCTGCAACAATAGCGAAGGATAACTTTGACAAAATTACCATGGCAGACCATCCTGTCGTCGTGGATTTCAATACTTTGGATGGATTCCTCCTGAAACCCATGCAACGTTTAGTGAAATATCCTCTTTTATTAAAGGTACGCGGTTATCTATTTTATGAAAGTACCCGATGCTAAATGAATAGGACCTCCGGGATAAAACAAATGCTAGCGATGAGGCGAAAGAAGATCTTACTCTTGGTATTGAAGCCTCTAATCGTGTGCTTCACCAAGCAAATGCGGCAGTTGACAGGGAACTCAGAGGTGAAGCTCTATTGGATCTCTGTGGCCGTGTCGACGACTGGAAGAATCATAGAGTCGATCATTTTGGTGACCTGATTTTGCATGGCCATTTCCCTGTAGTTACTGGCAAGAGTGAGGTCCAGAAAGAGGTGCATTTCCCTCTTTCCCCCCAGACAAAATTCGACAAAAACTTACGAGCCTGAACAGTATACTATATATCTATTTGAACGTATTCTTCTATGTTGCAAGGAAGTCAATCCAAACAAGTCTAAAGACAAACTCATGGGAAATCAAAAAGATAAGAAGGATCGAAAGGACAAGAACAAGATTAAAGAAAAGGATAAGAACGCTAAATTGCAGCTAAAGGGTCGAATTTTCATGACTAACGTGACAGATGTAGTATCATCTGCTAAGCCAGGTATTGAATTATCATCTTTCCCACATACCAATGTTTTTCCACTGACAATCCACCAGGTTCTTACACAGTCCAGATATACTGGAAGGGAGATCCAGGAGTTGAGAATTTCATCATTAGATTTTCCAACGAAGAGACCATGAAAAAGTGGTATGAAGGTGTCGATAAACAAAAGAAAGAGCATGCCAACATTGGAGCGCAGACAAGCACTAGTCCCGATACAGCACTAAGGAATTTTGAATGGGCGCGTGATCAAATTGCATCAATGCCTAATCCTTACGCTCAACAAGAGGATGAGGATGAAGAGGAAGACTACAGTGGTACCACTGCATATGGATCCCCACCAAACTCTGGAATGCCCCCTAATTTTGGAATGCCTCCAAACGCTAGCATGGCTCGAAATTCGTCTAGTACTAGCCTGCGCTCAAGATCTGCAACCGGAGATAGTAACCCATCTCTAGCTGGTATTGCGCGAGCACTACCGCCACGATTCCCAGTTGGCATGAATATAGCTCCACCTCTCAGTTTACAGACACAAATGTCTGGCTCACTCCCATCCCCGGGTCAAAGATTGGGAGACTCGTACTTCTCGCCTATTGGAGAGTCACCTGCACCCTCTGCACGAACTAGTACATCTTCGACGATGTTTCAATTTCCTCAGACTTCTCAATTTCCCCGCCAGCCAACACCCCAGGGTCAGGGCCCTTGGGAGGATAGCAATCGTTACACCGCACCTGCAATTGTTCGCGTACCATCAAGAGAAAACCATGGTTCAGTGAGCGGTCCCTCTTATCAGATGAATGGCCGAACGCCACAGAGACCATCACTTCCTGCCATGGCTACATCATCACAGGCTGCGGCTGCCGCTGCACAGCAGCGAAGTCGCTCATATAGCACTCCTGACATTAATGCTCAGCAAGGTGTTCGCCGTCTACCGAATGGAGCTCTGAGCACCCCGCAAGGACAAGTTCCAGCCGTTCCTGGCATCCCTGCACATCTACATCCAGCTTATGATGCTGGTGTTCCCAGATCCCATAACAACTCACCAAATGGATTGCCAGTAAGGACCAACACCCAATCGCCTGGTGTTCAGAGAGAACGTCAACTGCACCAGCAGCACCCGTCGCAGTACGCTAATGGATTACAGTATTCCAATGGTTCACAAAGCCTGGGCGTGTCACAGCCTAATTACACTCGCAGCAACACTACTCAAATACCAACAACTGCGCTCGATAGTCGGCTGCCTCCATCATTGATGAGTGGCAATAGTGGAATGTCACTCTCGCCAGAAGGTGACATGCTGTTACCTACACAGCTCAAAGTCAAGGTCAATTGTGACGGTAACTATGTTACATTAGTAGTGGCTTTCAACATCACATATCAATCTCTTACTGATCGCATTGATGCTAAGGTTGGAAGATTCTCAACCAACGCAATTGCTCGAGGAACAATGAGATTACGATATCGTGATGAAGATGGTGACTTTGTTACTATCGAATCTGATGATGATATTCAAATTGCATTTCAGGAATGGAGCGAGGCTCAAAAGTCACAATACCATAACACAGGGCAACTTGGAGAAATTGAGTTATTTTGTTTAAGCATTGACGGCGAGCGTTAAGAAGGGTTTTGATAGTGGTATGATGACTCTCGCGGGATGGTAGCACTGATGGATATGAATTTTCATGGTTTATCTTGATATATCAACATTAACATTCATGGATGGGAGGGTTATGATTACAACGTTGCGATGATGATAAAGGAAGGTTCGGCGCGGGTATATGAAGTCGGTTTATTACTTCTTGCACAAAGGTGTTATTTGGCGCTGGCGTACTTTGTGAATGGCGCCTATGCATTAGTGGAGGACGATGGGAGAGGGCGCATTTATTGCCTTTACAGAGCATATAGCGAAAGATTAGTTTATGAAACAAGAGCCTCACAGCTAAGGGGGGAGATATACCATGGTGCGGTGGGAATGAATTAGTAGGATGACATAGAAATACCACATCTTTGATACCATCTTACAACTATCTTTCCACTTGAAATATTTTCTGGTAATCCATCTTGAATCTCAATTGACATTTTCCCTCCCTTGCGCCATGATTGCTCCCAAAATGTGCATCGACCCATTGTGATGCTTGATATATACAAGTACATAGTGCCTACTAGGTAGGTATGTCTACCTTCATACCTATTCCCACATAATTTCGTACTACTTGGAATTTCATGTTCACTCTGTAAGACCATCTTATATGCATTCTCCCATTCATGCCGCTCATGATCATTTCCCTGATGTGAATGCATCATGCCTTCAACACCATGATATAAAATTCTTTAATCCGTTCATTTCTTCTTGCGCGGTCCAACAATCTTAGGATACATCCGTGAGAGATGGTAATTGATGGTGTTCTTCTTCTGTGCTGCGGCTTTCTGCATGCGAATTATATTAGTAGACTGCCATACTGCTTTTGCGGGCTTTCAGGGAGTAGATGATGGATGGGGCACATACAGGCGCATCCATACAGGCCCTCAATTGTGTTTCTAAGGCCTGGCATCCAGCTACGTTATATCCGGAAGATGCCCAGCATGCTACAAATAGGGTATCAGTATCTGCGAGCCAAGAATTGGTGATTAGGAGGAGGATGTCGTACTGAGAACTGAAGTCATAATGGCTAAACATGGATTTGAATCGGTTTGATTTGGTCTTCTTACCCTCAATTTGGGCAGTGGAGGTAACCTCATGGGTACCTTGGCGGTACTGGCTCCTTTGGGTGGCATGCTGAATGTTGATACACTGGTTGTGTATACCTAGTATGGATTGGAAGTGTGAGGGGCAAACAAACAGACTCAATCAATCAATCCCACTTGGGGATTCAGATGTCGAATTCACGGCGCTTCTAAATAATTTAGACGCTAGTATGTCTTTGGATTAGTGAGGAGGGCTTCGAAGGTCACATGTGGGTCCAGGTTTGTTTACATCTGTTCGAGAAGCCAATCAGCATGGACCATGATGGAGGTCTTTTTGATTTATGAAAACACAAGTTAGAGGACCATCTACGGCTCAGTAGTTGGGAGACATGACATTAAAGAACAAACATTCTTAAAATTCAATAACTTGTGAATATTGATTTTGGACATCTTTGGTATTGTTTCATTTATTAGAAAGAGATATTCGATTACGACGTACAACATACAGCATACAATCGTGTGATAGTGAATGCGCGTCCGAGGAGGGTATTCAATATGGAGGCTACATCATTTGAGACAGGAGAGAATTGGTGAGCGCGTCTTTCTTCTCTCCACATGCAGTCCCATAAAGACGCAGACTAATACAGAGAAGGGAAATATACAAAGACGCATTCGAACCGCAGCCCTCGGGAAAAATATTAAGAGCCTGGGAACGAGCACCCGTCACCTCACACGCCCCGCGTTTACACGGCCAGAAAATATGGAAAAAGAGGGGTGGGCTACGTGGTGAGCAAGAGAACAAGGAGAATTATAATGAGGCGTTTATGGAGCTAGAGAAAGAGGGCGCGGGAGCGAGGAAAAAGCCAAGGGTGTTGGGAATTAAAGAGGATATTTCGAGAGCGAAGTGGCATGAGGGAAAAGATGAGAGGGAGACATGGGATGAAAACTTGATGGTGGCCAGTGGTAGTCCGAGGAAGAATGCATTGGGCACTCCCAATAAATTACAGGTGGTGCCCAGGAAGAGGACGAATGCGAATTTGGTTATCACGCCTAGGAAATCGTCGAGGCAGACAGTATTGGGTGAAAAGGGTCAAGCTTTGAATATGGAACTGCCGCTATCTCCGGCGAAGGATAAGGAGGTAAATAGTAGCCCGATTAGGAAGAGAAAGATAGCGAGGAAGAGCATGAGAAAGTCGATGATGCCAGTAGAGAATTTTCAGAGGTTTGATGAGGAAAAGCATCATAGACGACACACTTCTTTAGTGTTCGATTTTGAGATGGCTACTGGGGAGAAGGAAATGGAATCGATGCAAAAACTCGAAAAATCGCCCAAGAAAACGCCGAAAAGACAAAGCCTTCGAAGATCAATGCGTGGAAGAGTTTCAGAGCCGGTTCAGGTGCTTGAGAAGGTCCTGACGAGAGATGATAAGAAACGAACGTCATATACTGGATTCAATTCTGCTTCTTTGAGAGAAGGAACTGTTAAAAGCCAAGCAGGTGCAATGGAGATAGATCACATACAAAATGCGTCTCCCAAAAAAGACAAGCATCAAGGCACGGCACACAGCCCAATCAAAAAACCAACCAAGGAGCAGGATATGTCACTTACCGCTCCTCTAATCGAACCTCTTCATACAAAATCAGAGAGCGCACAAACCCAAGCCGAGGACATTCCTACCCAAAAGACTACCAAAGGCGCCAAGCAAAAGAGAACAAGCTCACGTCGAAGTACACGTTCAAGTGATCGACTGGAGCTTGAGTCAGTCGTTAAAAAGCCTCTCCTCGTGGAGAGTACAGAGGTCACTACTTCAACCATTCCTACAACTAATAGTCAAGATCTCGCGTCCTTGGAGCCTTCGCAAAAAACTAATGATATTCTAAAATCCACACCAATTCCCGCGCCAGATCTTGATCTCGAAGATACAGTTCAAGATGCTGCGGGTGAAGAGATGGTTGAATGTCAAGAAGAGTTAAGCAATGCTGAAGTGTCAGCTCCCATCAAAGAGATAAATCACATCGTTGAAGAACTTCTTGAGCAGTCCGTCACTTCCAATGATAATTCAAGGAGTATTGAGTCACAAGCGCCCAATGGTGAATGTTCGGATGAATTGCCGGCTAATATGTATCGACAACAAGCTTTCCGCGACTTTGAAGACATCCAACCAGCCAATGAGAGCCGGACAACTCACGTGGCTCCGTTAGAAGAAGGAACTCCTGATGACGAAGATATGGATGATTCCATGTCGGATCTTCCTGAATTACTACTTGAATCTACTGACAGTGTTATCAATCTTGGACTGTCTGGCTTGAATGAATCATTTAATAACAATACCAACGAAATGCAGATTGCCACAGAATCTGAACCTATCGATGATCCCGAGTCTTTTGATTCGATGCAGGTCAATAGTCTACACACCGATAACCAGTCTGATGAATCTAATCACGGTGTCACATCAGCTGAATCCACGGCGGCATTTGCCACAACGTCTGAAGCTGACGATACTTTCTCAACAAATTTTACCTCCTCATTCGAGAACGATGATACGGATATACTTCGCCAATTCCTTACTAGAGTCAAGGCAGATAAAGCTGCAAAGGCCGCAGCGCCCGCTCCCAAAAAGAGAAAATCATTGCCACATTCACCTCTTCGAATTCCGCTGGGAGACATTATGAATGCAGAAGCATCATCACCAGTTCAAACGCCAAGGGATGATTTAGAGCTTGGCGCTCCAGAAACAGCATCACCTTCACGCAAGAGTCGTGCCACTACCCCGCCATCTACAGAGGAAGTAGATGCAGAAGCTAGATCTATCAGACGCAGCGGAAGAACTCGTCCACCTGTCCTTAAAATTCCTCTTCCAGCACCCAGTTCTATTCCAGTTCGAAGACTTGGTGGACAGGACGATACGAATGTTACTCTCAAGCAAAGTGTTGAAAAAGAATTGGCTGCTTTGACTCGTGTCAATACCAGGAAGAACAAGGCGGGTGCTGTTTTTCCAGATGTGCTTCTAGCGAGAAAAGCGGATGCAAAAGAAAATCCTGCCAAGAGGCAAAAAGAGTTAAAGGAGATGTTTGAAGAGAAACTCAGAAGAGAAAAGAAGGCCAAAGGCAAACCGAAGAAATCAGTGGTATGGGCGGAAGAAATTGCTCAGTATCAAACTTTGGAGAGGAAAGAAAAGAAGACAATGGAAAGTAGAAAGGTTAATAAGAATGGTGAGAGGATTGTAGATGGAAGTAAAACTGAGGAAAAGGGGAAAGTGGCAGAGGCGAAGGACAAGAAGGGGAGAGTCAAGACGCATACAAGTTCTAGTTCGAGACCGAGCAAAATTACCACAGGCATTCCTACTGCTAGTGGTACGCCAGCTAGGAAGAAGAGGGTGGTGAAACCATGATACAGGGGACGAGGAAAGGGGCTTTGTAGATGATGGATAGACGGGATTGTGTATCTTTGTATATGATGCTAGCTAGACAGGTGTTTTGCTGGATAGGATAGGGGATGGAGTTTGGAGCTTGAAGTTTGAGGTTATTTGCACTTTGTGGAGGGAGGGAGGTGGAGTGCATTTGTTTTTCATTATACCTAGGGGTGCATTGTTCAGTGGAGGTCTTTGGTTACTTTTTGTTTCTTACGATGAATTAATAAATGATTGATGATGGCTTGATCGTATTTTGGAGATGGCATGCGTTTATATGTGTCTGTGTAGTGTCATATATGGAGTACCTATGAGAATGGGAACTCGGTGCCCATCTAATAAAGAGAAATCGTATCTTGAGCACTATTTTTTGAGATAATGAGAGGAAGGATTGATTTTGTTATATATAGTGATTGATTTCTTAAACATTAGATTTGTAGACATTGTCTTCTAGATTGAGATGAGATGGGGGTTTGATCTGGTCTGGTATGTCCTGGTGCATCTGGTGGAGATGAATCTTTTTGGCTTCACTAGAGCTGAGCTGGCTATATAGTATTTCAGGGGGGTTCAATATATACAATAATCGGCTAGGGTTTATTGAAATTCCTCGGACGTCTGGCCACCCTCAAGAGCTTCCTGACTAAGCAAGGCTGTCACATCCGAATCTCAACCTTCCATAACCATAAATAAAACAACTCTTCGGAGTTTCCATACAACCAAACTTCGCCACATAATTAGATCGAAATGCCTATGAATGCATTTCCTCGCGATTCGTCGGATGAATCGTCGGGTGATGAAAATGATTTTTTACATCCATCAACCGATCCTCGAGAGGAATTCGCAGATTATAATCCGAGGAAACGAAGGCGCACGGGTAGGGATGTGAAGGAAAGTGCGGCGTTAGGTGTGTTTGGAAGTGAGAGTGAGGATGAGGGGGGTCCGGGGAAGAGGTGGAAGAAGAAGAGTTTGAGGGGAAAGGGGATGAGTTTTGTGGCCGGGGGTGAGAAGGTCGGAGGGGAGGAGGATGATGAGGACGATGATGAGGACGATGACGAAGTCGAAACGGTATCGAATGATGGGGGAAAAGATGTAGACATGGGAGATTACGAAGAAGAAGCGAATGCGCCTCGAGGATTGGGATTTGGTGCCCCTGGGAAGGGATTGGGGTTTCAAAGTCCAGCGCCGAGTAAATCGAAAAATACTGGATTGGGTTCGAATACGGGTACGCCTCTGGGACGGGGCTTTGTGCCATCTTCGGCGAATAATCCTATACTTATGAATAACGACGATGAGCAAGAGACACCGAGGATTGCAAGGCCAAGCGCGTTTTCTACACCTACGAGTGGACGCGGTGGAAAGAAATCGGGTGGTGGCGCAACACCGGTTAATGGGATGTCATTTGCGGCGAGAATGATGGCTAAGATGGGTTATAAAGAGGGGCAAGGTCTGGGTAAAGAGGGTCAGGGTCGAAGTGGTGTTATTGAGGTCACTTTGCGACCGCAAGGTGTAGGTTTGGGATCAGTAGCTGAGAAATCGAAACAAGAAAAAGAAGAGGAGAAACGGCAAGCGAAATTGAGGGGGGAGAAGATTGAGGATTCTGATGAGGAGAGGAAGAAACGTAAGAGGAAGCCAAAGACGAGTGGGACGGATAGTGGTATGAGTGGAGTGAGCACTCCTCGAAAAGCACCCAAGCCGAATTATCGAACGGTCGAGGAAGTACAAAGAGCTGCGCCTGGCTTGGAAATTCCGGAAGCATTTGCTCCAATTCTGGATATGACTGGTCCTGGTCACAAATTACTTACTTCTACATCTGGAATTTTGACGCCTACTGCTGGGCCGCCAAAAACGGAGAGCGTGGAACAAATTGAGAATAGAAAATTAGCTCGAAGAGCCCAAAATGATCTATCGGCGTTTGTTGAAGAATGGAAAAATCTTGAGGAGAGGAAAGCTTATACAGAAATGGAACTCATTCAGCAACAGCAAGAATTAGATGAGGAGCAGCGGCAATATGAGCAAATGAAACTCTTTGCGGATAGCATTCAGGGTATTGCTAAGGCTGTACAGGATGGGCAGTGGGATCCAGTCATTGAAGCACTGAAAACCGTGGATGGGCTTGACATATCTGGAGCTAATGAAGAATTGTCAAATATAGCTGTCGCGGCCGTTCATCCCTTTCTTCGTCAAGCTACGGAAGGTTGGCAACCTCTTGAGGATCCCAAATTAAATGGGATGGTTCCGAATCTTTACCAAATTCGACATATTTTAGGGGCTGTGACTAACGAGAAGGCTATTGTTGGTCAGGATTCTTTTATGAATGCCTCGCATAAGATTAGGGTCAAATCGACTACCCCTTATGAAAGTATGATCTATAAGATTGTCTTCCCTAAAATTGTATCATCTATCAATAAAAGTTGGGATGTTTACAATCCCGCTCCAGTACTGGCATTTTTAGATGCCTGGCAAGGATTATTACCAAAATTTGTCGGATCACAGATTTTAGATCAGGCAATAGTCGGAAAACTTAATGATGCAGTTTCATCTTGGAATCCAAAGAAGAGAAGAAGCCACGAATTACCTCATCTTTGGTTATTTCCCTGGCTACAACATTTACCCATTTATCACGCTGATCCGAAAAGTTCAACCGGTCTTGTGAGCGATGTTAAGCGAAAGTTTAGACATCTGATTGATTCTTGGGATTTCCATAGAGGTGTCATACCGGGTCTTTCGCAATGGCGCGAAGTACTGTGTCCTAGTCCTAAGAATGATACGTGGACCCCGTTGATTATGAATCATGTTCTTCCCAGTATGGCTAAGTTCCTGAAAAATGAGAAGAATTTTAGAGTCGATCCGAATGATCAGTCTCCATATATGTCCAGTCTTCAGGGAGTCCTGGCCTGGAAAGATATACTGAAACCGAGGGTTGTGGGACAGGTGGTTGTGGATACGGTGTTTCCGATGTGGCATCATGTTTTGCATCAATGGCTTACGATTGTTGGTCCAAATGAGGAAATTGGACAATGGTATGAGTGGTGGCGTGATGGAGTCTTCCCAACGGAAATCAAAGAGTTGAATGCAGTACAGGAAGAATTCGAAAAAGGACATGAAATGATCAAGAACGCGTTGCGACTTGGAGAGAAAGTGGGAAATCTTCCTGCGCCCGAAAGTCCATCTCTTTCTTCCCTTCCCCCCAAACCTGCTACTATACAACCATCGAAGAAAGTACAGATTTCGGAAGAAGTATCGTTCAGGGAGAAAGTGGAAGATTGGTGTATTGAGAATGATTTGCAGTTTGTTCCTGAGAAGAAGGTGTTGCATAGTGCGGGACCTCTTTATAGGGTTACGGCGCAGGGGAATGGGAAAGGGGGGGTGTTGGTTTATTTTAGGGGGGAGAGATTGGTGGCGTTGCAGAGTCGAGGCGGGGCAAGGGAGAAAATAGAGGTGGGGATTGAGTGGGAGGGGGAGGAGGGGAGAGATGTGCTTTTGGGGATGGCGTGGAGTGGGGTTAAATAGGGGGGTGGGATGTGTGGAGTGATTGGGGTGATTGGAGCTAAGGTGGGAAAATGGGGGGTAGATTATATGATAGGTTGTGATCTGATGTGGATGTTTGATTTGATATCCAGAGTGAGGGAATTAGAGAAGTGGATGGAGAGGGAATATTAATACCAAATTCGATTCCTTCCATTGACAGAATCTTATATTTCATTTTCATTTTCCACGTTGAGTCAAACTACGTGAACTCACTTGTTATCGTTTTTTGATGTAAAGAATGTGAGAATTAGATTGAGTTATACTATCTATCTGCTGAGATCTACAGCGTAGTGCAATATTCATGTCCCATAATCCCATAATCCCACTTGCTCTTTTGTGATTATGGTTGTGATAATGATTCTAAGAAGAACTTCAGAGCAGCAAATTGATTGTGATATCATTGTGATATTGTTGAGAGTATAGTTAGTTGGCTTTTGATCATCGCGGATTGATTGGGCATTGGGAAATTGGGAATGTTTCTGTCTTTTTCTTTCTTTTCTTTCCTTTCTTCCTTTTTTTGGGTTCCGATAGTCGATTAGGATGGGATGGGATGAGATGGAGTGAGATGGGGTATGTGAGGTGAGATGGGATGAGTGAGGAGTCTGGGTTTGGGTTTTGCGTATGGATTTGGATGCTTGTTTTTGGATATTGGATATTGGATATTGAATAGGAGGGGAGGAAATGAGGAATAGATAAGGAGGAAAGGAGGAAAGTGGATGGGAGTGGATGGGGTATGTATGTACTCGAGTAGTATGTAAGAGAAGAAGGAAATGGTATATTTGGATTGAGAGGAGGATCTTCTTTTGATATTTGCGATGAATGGTAAATCGGGTGGGGGGCGAATAACTGGGAGAAGGAAGATGATGGTGTTGGTGTTGAATGATATAAAATGGGATGGGAGATAGGAGATGGTTGGAAAGAGGAGGAGTGGATGAAAGACGAGAGATGGGAGGGATACGGGATCAAGAATTTGAGATGGGGCATGTGGCATAGAGGATGTTTAGCATGATGAAAGCAGGAGTATTGTGACCGTGTTACTTGTGTTTTGAGTGAAGCAAGGCAAATGTGAATGGGGAGGTGAAAAATGATAATTGTGAGTGAGTCTATTTACTTGTCTATCTGTTTGGGTATCACTTGGTTATTTGTATAACATCCGACGTGGATAGGTACATACTCCTGGATATTCACTTATCACCATCACCATCACCATTCAGACAGATGAATAGACAATCATCCCCGGCCTATTTAAGTGCTATACATACAGCCGCCTTATAAACAGTGAATATGATAACCAATCCAAAGGCTTAAATAGGAAACCTACATATATATATACTTCACAGTCATCTATTACACGGCGAAGCTTTTATACAGCCTGGTATGTCAACTGTCGATTATCGAGTATATTGTTCTTGGATAACTTGCTTTGGGAACTTTTTACCTGGATACTTGGATATTTGGAGCTTCTATTCTGTAGTTTATGGGAAACTGAGAAAAAGAATGAGAACGTAGAATATCGAATTCTATATCACGAAAAACTTGAGCGAATATTAAGGGCATACAAATTACACGACGAGGACTTTGAAGAAGAAGAAGAAGAAGAAGAAGAAGAAGAAGAAGAGGAACACGAATATTTACTTTGAGATCGAAAACTGAACTCGGACATTCAAAGCCATCTATCTAGTACGTTCTCCTTCACTCCGCACAAAATAATCTAACACTTTCTAGCCCCAACTATCTATATCGATATCACCTCACTCCAAACACTTCACAATTATCTACTCAACTCCTACAAACCCCTCTCAAAATGTGTCGCAGCATAACCTACCGCTACAGCATCTGCACGCACAGCTGGCGTCCATATGTAATTCCCTGTTCAAATCCTATTATGGACAATCTTTCAGATACCGAAAGTATGAATATCTGTCCGGCGTATAAGATGAGATATGAACGCAGAGTTATCAAAAGTGGGAATGGATTGTGTGCGATGTGTTGGGAGAGGCAGGAGAGGAAGGAGAAGTATGTGAGAGAGAGGGAGAGGGTGCTTGAGGAGAAGATTAGGGAGAGGATTGGGGGAAAGGGGAGGGGGATGGAGAAAGAGAATGGGAGGATGTTGGGAGATATAGATGAGGAGGTTGAAGAAGGTTTGGAGGAACGAGGGGAAAATTGGAAGAGGGAGAGGAAGGAGAAGGGGAGAGAGGAGAATGAAGAGAATGAATATTTTTTGCAGGAAACAGAGAAGAAAACATGGATTTTGGAGGGAAATGGTAGGGTGAGGAAAAAGCTAGATGGGAATGAGGGGAAGGGGGTCCGAAATGGTTGGCTAGGCTAGGAGGGAGGGGAGTTCGAATTCCAGTTTTTTCTGTGCATGATCGTGCAGCGGTAGACAGGAAATTTGGATAGAGTGGTTATCTAGGAAAAGAGGATGAGGTGCTACTGAATGATAGAACACTACTATATTCTACAGGAAAATTTGACCTAGTTCTAGCGCATATTCTTTCCATTACAGATTTAGAGATAGGTGACTCTGCACTTCAATTCCAAACACAAGTTTTAATCTAATCAAATCAACAGCAATCTTCCGAAAATTCTAGCGCTACAGAGATTCCAATATGGAATTGACACATAACAATCGCAATCATGAGTGCAAACCTCCAGGCTCAAGTGAATTTTCGACATCTGACCCAGTCAATAAGAAAGATCGTGAACTTTCATAAACTACTTACTTACCAACGCCCCAACTCATCACTCCATAACTGCAAAACAAGATCTCTCAACACACTCATTCAAAGTTCAAAGTCCAAAGTGCTTGAATGTCTGTCTATACGAGAGCGATGCAGTGCAACTTCACGTACCTAGATAGAATATTCTCGCTTAACACTCTACACTCAACGATCAATGACTATTTTCATCCAGGTGACATAACATCACACCTGCTCACTATCTAGTAAGTATCAACTGTAGCCCTCTCGAAACAACTCAAAAGTTAACTCCTTTGAAATCCTTCAAACCCTTTCAAAACTCCCCTAGAAACTAGAAACCCCGTCTCGTAATCAATTACAGATTCAACAATGAAATGCATGGTTTTCAAGAGGACCGGGTAAGATTCGATGTAATAAGTACGATTTTTGTGATGTTGAAGAGCGTTTTCTGGGCCCATGCACCCACCCACCATTTCATTCCAATCATTCCTGGATTCCAATAAGTAACACGGTCATTGATTTATAATTGAATGGCAAATATTATAGTGATAGTGACCTTTGTATGAAGTTAGCTTTGGGCAATCAAATTATTGTGACATCATGAAACGAAACAAGATCAAAATGGCCCATAATTAAACCACATACCTAAATAATTATTGCATTTTCAAATTTGGAAGTAGACGTCAAAAGTGCAGGTCAAGCCACTGAAAGAATGTCCAAAGGCCACTTGATCGTCATCCCACTTTGCGCATTCAAGCTATCATCTACTTAATAATGATATTTGTATCGTAACATGGTATCTCTATATTCCCTACTGAAAACTACCAAATATAATAGCAAGGATCCAGGCGCCTAATAATGCTTCCCTTTCCTTCCTTGTCATGCCTATTAGACACTCCCGATGCAAAATGTGCAAGTAGCCAACGCCCAGCCACCATGTGGACCCAATCTGAATCTTATTTATACCATATCAATTCGCTTCATTAATTCATTTCCATTTCTTCATTGTCATCAACTTCAGAACCTACACCTTGTGTATGAGTGCTACTAACACTAGTCTTTCGGACCACACCACCTACACCAAAACGAGAACCACCAAGTCCTCCAACAAATTCTAATTCTTCACCTAAAGTTTTGTGTTAGAAGTGCTCAGAAAAACATCGACATGAAAAAGTATGCTCACCTCCTACAACGCGACCTTCCATATCGATTTCCTGTGATAAATCAACCAAGGCTTGGCGTGGCAGTCTTAAAAATCCGGGCGTACGAACAACTCTGCCCCAGTGCGTGAGACAAAAGCTGGCAGCACGTCTACGTAACCATTCTTCATTAGCAATTCCAGCGGAATGCCAAATAACACAAGCGTGATCGACATCTAATTCCTTCGACAAACGATTAACACATAACAACCTAAGATGTGGAATGTTGTAAATATTTGACATGACCAAAAGTCCTGCAACATCATCTAACTCCGCACAGTCGTCTGGATGGATACTATCAGTATACAGATAGTATAAAAACGCCTTGACAACTGGATAGGGTTCTGGGATGTGCATTCTCTTTGTATGATATTCTGCCATTTGCGCATTGTATAAGCGTGCAAAGTGAGGCCATCGAGCTTGGAGAATGAGTTTGTGAACATGGATTGGAGGAGATGTTGGAGCATCAGGAGCCAACCAATTTTGTTGAACTTGACTGATAGAACCTCTGGAGCTTGAATCATCCTCATCACATTCATCATCTTTTGACGCGGTGATGATAAAATCTGCCCCACTCCCACTTTCTGGTGCTTGATTGAATACTTTGGCTAAATCCATACCAAGGCCTTTCGAGGTTTCGACTTTCATTCTGCCAGAGGATGATAATCGCGAAGTTTCTTCTCGAGGCTCGGGATTTAAGCCGTTACCGAGTAAACCATATCGTCGAAGATCAATCTCCATTATATCACTAAAGAAGGAATGATCAGCACTGATTTTTATCTGAAAATAAGTAAATGGGCACATACCTTAGATATTCTTCAAAACCACCTGGACCTAGATCTGTTGCTGTGGGATCGGTTGGACAACCAAGAAGCCAGGCCTTTGTACCCTCATCGTTTAGAGTACAGTAATGCCATCTATAACCTGGTCTGAAAATATCTCGACCTTCTGCAAGTTTTTGCCAACGCAGTGTGTCCAATTCCAGAGATGATAAAGAACACTCTTGTGGTGTTATTGTTGCTGCAGGAGTGACGAAATCGAGAAGAGTTCCGGATGTATAAACATGGAAATGCATACCTGAGCCTTGGGCTGGTATATTGGGACCGGATACGAATTTTAACGAAGAAATTGTACCAGGAGCAAGAGGAGGAGAAGTAGTTAATTGAAATGAAGGTGGATTGACCTGTGCGCTGCTTGAATTTGCGGCATAGCCCGAACTGCCTACAGCAGACTGTGACATTGAAAATGAAGGTCGAGGAGAACGACTGAGAGCTGCATGCCTATCCATGGAACCATATGAAGGTGCTGATTCGAATGCTGGGCTACCCTTAAAATCCAACCACCATACATCACCAATTTTATCCATATCCTCGCTGAGACCTCCAAAAACCCAAACTCTGTCTCCCCATAAATATGCCGAGTGATCAAATCGTCCAACGAAACGCCATGCTCGGGACCAGGTGAAAGTTTTTAAGTCCAGGTAGCAAATATCATCCAACACATAATTATTATGACCGGTAATACCGCCGATGATAAATAGCTTATCCTCGTGCAAAACAGCAGCATGTCTTGCTCTTCCTTTTGGTATGGGTCCAGATACAGTTGGTTGGGTCCAGTGTGCGGTCTTAAGATCGAAAATGATGAGGTCGGAGAGGTATGTACGATGTTCATTTTCACCACCAAATATGAGTAGTTTATCGCCTTGATAGAGTGTAGCGGTATGACCTGCAAGACTTGTTAGAACTGTAATTGAAATGGGCACATACAGACCTACCCATTCGTACACCGGGAATGTCGCCATAATTGTCGACCAAATTCCATTGGTGACTAACTAGATCAAGTCTCAAAACATGGTTATAGACCTCGTCGGTATACTGATCGAAACCACCAAAGGCATATATCTGATTGTTGCCGCAATATGTAACAGAGGCATTGACAAGGCAAGCTGGGCGCTACATAAGTTTGAACATGGGTTAGAAAATAGTCCGCAGAGTGTCGAGAGTTTTATGAATTACCTGGCCGAGAGTTCTTGTAACCTTGGGCCTATACCCATCCATACCCAATCTATTCTTCACGGGCGAATTCGGCATTAAGAAAGTATTGCTTGAAGGAGCGGCACCTGGAGTGGTAGGAGGACCTCCCGAAAGTTGATTGGTATGGGTAGGAGTAGAAGAGCCAGGGCCAAAGATGGAGTAAGGTGTACCGCCGGGTGTAGAAGGCTGAGCCATAATAAGAGGTGGTATCTTATGTGGACATGCTAGATTGGTTAATGAAAGAAGTTGATGCTGTGCGAATGTGCACAAACTCCCCAGACGAATAGAAAAAGGCGGACAAACAGATCAAACCAAAAGAAGTCAATGAAGCAGGATGGGGATTTCCTTTGTTCGGTGAGACAAGAAGATTGAGTGAATTGTATTTTACGGGGTGTACAGTTCAAATGGTAAATCAAGATGAACTTGCTATCATTAAACCTTTCATGGTTTCTTCAACCTCAATATACATAAAAATCATGCACGGGTGACGATGAGATGGAACATTTGAAGTATTTTGGAAAGAGTTCATGGGGGCTGCAGGTGGGTCGGCGGGTCGGAATTAATCTAACGCGCTCTGGGATTTGTGGCTTAGGATTTCGACACGACTAAGTTCTTGCCTGAGGTTCAATTTTCACGTTTTTAGTCGTTGCGGGATGGTTGCCCCTCACAACCAAACTAATTCAGTGGAGTAAACAAACGAGTAGAAAAGCTCTTGAATATTCCTTTCTCAAAGACTTTCTTTCTTTCTTTCTTCATGCAACATTTGCAATCTCTCTATACTTCCGCACCTTTACCTCTCATCTTCATCCTCACTACCCATAATCACATAGCATACACAACATAAAACAACATACCTTCTATCACAAGAATACTTCAAGTCTATTAGATCTTTCTGCCACACGCCATTGATCGTTACCCGACTCCTAAGCCATTCTTATATAGAAGAACTTTTCGATATATCGAGCACAAATACGAATTATACTAACCCCAAACAATTACCAGGAACCATTAGGTTGAGTCTCTTGGAGCTCGTTCGATATACCGAATCTACTCCTATCATCGATCGATTCATTAATTTGTCTTTCGACCGAGATCACACCTTGATATTGCAAAATGGCCACCGCAGTATCAACCCCCATTAAGTCCCACACTGGGCTCTTTTCCACACGTACCGCTGGCGGACGTATGCCTTTGACCCCATCTCCTCGTACACGCACCCAAACTCTCTCGATCAATAACTCATCTCCTTTTACTCCACCCGAGAGAAAGGTATCTGAAGAGAATGTACGACTATCATCCAAGTCAACATACGGCGGAAACTTAACATCACATTTCGCGAAGTCTTCCAGAAAGTCTCACCGGGACTCACCAAAGTCCAACATTGCCAAGGGTGTTCAAACTCCTCGACATGCTCTTGAGCTCGGCGTCTCTGACTTTGCTCTTACTGGTACAGGATGCAAGACCCCTGTAGCTACACGAACAAGAAAAGGTCCAGTCCGCTCAAAGGCCACCAAGACTACTGTCTCCTACTCTGGCGATAGATTTATCCCAGACCGTGCTGCAAGCTCAGCCATCACAACTGCTGGCTGCGGAAAAGCCGACTTTGCCGAAAAGCAAAGACCAAAAAGCATCAATGAAAGCTCTTCAGTTCTCGCATCGGGTGCCGGTGATGCTCTTGCTGCTCTTGAATCATTGACCATTGATGACGAAGAAGAGCCAGCTTCATACTCTCGCCCATCACCAAATACCATTGCATACCAAGACTCATTGGCATCTGCCTGTGGTATTTCTCAAGGCCAAAGAATCCTCGCATTCAAGCCTGCTGCTCCCGAATCCTCAAAACCTGTTGATCTCCGATCCCAATATAACCGTCCCCTCAAAAACTCCAACGCTTCCGCTGCTCAATTCAGACGCCGCATTGCAACTGCACCAGAACGTGTCTTGGATGCACCTGGTCTCGTCGACGATTACTACTTGAACCTCCTTGACTGGAGCTCCAACAATCAAGTTGCCATTGGTCTTGAACGCAATGTATATGTCTGGTCTGCTGAGTCTGGTACTGTCAGCTCTCTTCTCGAAACTAGCCCAGATACCTACGTTAGCAGTGTCAAGTGGTCAGGTGATGGAGCATATGTCAGTGTTGGTCTCGGTTCCGGAGAGGTTCAAATCTGGGATGTCGAAGAAGGTACTAAGCTCAGAAGTATGCACGGACACGATACACGTGTTGGTGTAATGGGATGGAACAAGCACACTCTATCCACCGGTGCACGAAGTGGCCTTGTCTACAACCACGATGTTCGCATCGCTCAACACAAAGTCGCTGAGTTGGTTTCTCACACCTCCGAAGTTTGCGGTTTGGAATGGCGCGCCGATGGTGCTCAACTTGCTACTGGTGGTAACGACAACTTGGTTTCTATCTGGGATGCTCGTTCCTTGGCTGTCCCTAAATTTACCAAGACCAACCACAAGGCCGCTGTCAAGGCTCTCAGTTGGTGCCCATGGCAACCAAACGTTTTGGCTACTGGTGGTGGGTCATACGATCGTCACATCCACTTCTGGAACACCACCACCGGTGCACGTGTTAACAGCATCGACACTGGCTCCCAAGTCACCAGTCTCCGATGGAGCCCTCATTACCGCGAGATTGTCAGCACCAGTGGATTCCCAGACAACTCTATCAGCATCTGGAGCTACCCTACTTTGGTTCGCAATGTCGAGATTCCAGCCCACGAGACCAGAGTCCTCCACAGCTGTCTCAGCCCAGATGGACAAATGCTCGCCACAGCTGGTAAGTTACCCCTTCCATCCACAAATTGATATTCACTAACATTCATTAGCTGCTGATGAGAGCTTGAAGTTCTGGAAGGTTTTCGAGAAGAAGACTGGCCCAGGTGCATCCGCATCAGCTGGTGCATCAGGAAAGGCCGACATGGTCAAGCAAATGACTATCAGATAGATAGGTCAAGGATAGCTCTTGGAGCTACAGGTAAAGTATAAAGCAAATTCCATAATAGCATTTTAGAAATTGGGATGTTTTAGCGTGGTGTTTGGTGGATTTCGATCTTCACAATGCCCATGGCAGAAAGTGCTTCACCTGGTGCAAGTTGATGCTTTGACGATGAATGAATGGAGGATACCTCTGGTGCTTTTCTGGCGTACACCTTTTTCGGATGGGACTTTGTATTAGTTATTTTAGTTAGGAAATGTAAATTACTTGAACCAATTAAATATTACAACATGAAAAGCGAATGAATTGATTCATTCGCCCATGGTGAAAATGCTCTAAACCTCAAATTAAGACTTCCTACGCAAGTCTCAGACAAACCATGGAAGCAGCGAGTCAATCAGCCAATTATCTCAACTGTAGAGATCCTGTAGCCCAATTAGATCGATTTCCGAAGATAAATCTACACTCATTGCTTTTGGGAGTGAACCTCAATTATTCAATGATTAAGAATGAATTTGTTGTCGATTTGCAACGAGCAATTTGAAAGAAATGAAGAGAAAGGCAAAGACTCAGCCTTCAGGCTCTCTTAAGTCATTATATAAGCGAAAGCAGGCTAAGATTATCCATATCTCTACCAAAGCGACCTTCCCCCATCCAACTCCACAAGACAGTACAGAGCAATATCACTTTACATTTCAGAAATCCATTTAATTTGTTTACAAAGTTACATGAGATAGTCAAGAAGATCCTTAAGTCAATCAACAAGTGGCATACAAATTTACGAATCTGAAAAAGAAGTGTGGCGGGGGCAATTACTGTTGCGAGTTCAACGACTGACCGTCCTCACAAGCTGGAGATAGTTCAATTCCATCAACAACTTTTCAACACCTACCTCTTTCCACAGCTTTCGACCTCCGATTTTATGATATTTGAGTAACAAGAATTGAAAGCTCCATAACTGCAAATTCGATTACTCGCGTGTAAAGAACAAAATCGTTGAAGAGATAGCTGGAGACGAATTCCATTTGCGCACACGATCGATAGTTCCTCCATTATACCCAAGCAACGCAAGCAACAAGATGTCGAACACTCAAGTGGGAAATGTTTACCAGCAGATTATTGCAGATGTAGTCGATAGCTCTAGAGTCGACTTCGAGGAGAGTGGAGTCGATGAAGTTGTATTGGAGGAGTTGAGAAAGGTATGTTTCTGAGTCTCTTATCAACCTTCTGCATTCTGCAATCCCACATCTAATAAGGTCTTCAATTGAATTCTTTATTTCTTTTTCTTCGTGAATGACTATTTGGTCTTCGAATGGTCCTGATTTCGTTGGCATGTTATTTTGTTGGATTCTCCTCTGACATGAATCTCTGTTGCTGGTTTCGTTGAGTTTCCTCTGTTGCTGCTTGATTGCTGCCTGTGCACAGTCGGCCAGTTTCTGGGGGTGGGCGATCCTCTGTATTTGGCTTTATACCCTTGACCTCAGCCTCTCGGCTGTGAAAACACTTTTCTTGAGCTAGTCTCTTTCCGTCTTTTGTATCACGTGGTACTTCTTAGACATAGATGTACATGGAAGTACGCATGTAGCAGTCCAGGTCATCAGTGTCTTGCACGTAGTCTTATAGTCGCTCAGTCTTATTTCTTTGATCTTTTCTACCAACACTTTTAATATTTAAGATACGTTGATAAATAGTTTTGCTAATACATTATTTTCAAAGGGATGGCAAAAGAAGTTGTCAACACTGGGTGTTGCTCTGTTTCCATGGGATCCAAAGCCTGACCAGCAACCTATGCAAAATCCACCAATGGTACCTTCAAATTACCAACATACAGGTATACCTCCAGGACAACCAATATATCAAACTCCAATGCCAAATGGACCTCGCATCAAGGGTGAACCTGGTATGGAGAATGCAGGCTTCATACCGTCTCCTATGTCACAGGCACCTCCTCAGGGTCCTCTTATGACTATGCCAAATGCTACACCAGCCCAACAACGTGCTGCCCAAAACCTCCATGCTTCTTATGGACATAGAGCGGCAGCTTCAATTCAATCCATTCAAGGAGGTGGTGGGGCACCCCAGCAGCAACCCATGTCTCAAATGAGTCCACAGCAACATCAAGCGATGCAACAACAACAACAAAATTTGCAAATGCAATCAATGCAGCAGCAACAGCAACAACAGAGACCAGGCAGTGGTTTGTCTCCTCAAGCTCAACCACAACAGCCACAAGGACAACCCCAGGGTCCGCCAAGCCAACAAAGTCAACAAGCTGCGGCGGCTTATAGGCAGAGTGTTGCGGCTCAACAAGCACAGCAGCTACAGCAGTTACAGCAGCAGAGAGCTTTCCAAAACGGTCAAGCCCCTCAGAACCCCCAAAACCCCCAAAATGGTCAGAATGGTCAGAATCCTCCAGCTCCTCAGGCCCAACAAAATCCTCAAGGTGGTGTTGGAGGTGCACAAACTGACGGAGCTGGTGATGAGACTGATGAATCTATTGGAGTTATCAAACAATTTGATTCTCGAGGCAATGAGATCGCCATGGGTCGAATCGAGATTGACAACCTCATCCGTAGCAAGATCGAATCCATGGGCAAGGCTATGGAAGGTGGCGGTCTAATGCTTCCACTCAAGGAAGCCAATAAGATCCCTTCAACCAAGCGTCAACGCAAGGCCTTACCAGGCTCATTGCCACAAACAGATGGTCTTGGCTCTGATGATGATGACGAAAAGGTTAAGGATGAATTAGATGAAGATGCAATTAATTCTGATTTGGATGATCCTGATGATGGATTGAATGACGATGATGAAGATGATGAGAATATGGGTCATATTATGCTTTGCATGTATGACAAAGTCCAAAGAGTCAAGAACAAGTGGTATGATTTTTGCATTCCTTCCATCATACACATGCTAACTCATTATATAGGAAGTGCGTTATGAAAGACGGTGTACTCACTGTCAATAACAAAGAATACGTATTCCACAAAGCAACTGGAGAATATGAATGGTAGACTCCATTTTACAATCTTCATTTCGTCTATATCGTCAAATCATTATGCATGACGACTGCAGTTAACCTTTTTTAACAATCACTACATCTTTTTACTTCACTTCATATCTCATGATATCACTTCAAAATTCTAGACCGTCTTCTCTCTTTTCCTTTCTCTTTTCGGTTTCCCTCTTGTGGATATAGATGGGATTGAGCATTGAGATAAATCAGTCAGTCACCCGCGGAGGATTATTCAGCATTTGCATGGTGTGTTCAGCGACAATGACGGTTCAGCGTAACGAAGATTTAAAAAAATCCAAAAACTAAATAACGGATCGATATATGACACAAAGTTGATGAATAGGAGAGGCATGGTAGGGAACCTACGAATTGCGATGTGCTGGGACCTAGATTGGTTTGACTTGGTTTGATTGGTCTGGTTTTGTTTGATCGAGACAACCAAATAGGAAAGTCGGGAGCAGATGGAGCTGCATTTATGTAACATATTATAGCATACCACATCGATTCAATTCGAATCCATTTTCATTAGATAGTTATGGGCCTTGTTGTGGTCCTCCTTCATCTGAGTTTTGCTCGGTGATTACAATCAAAATCAATCAGAGATTGAAAATTTTAATGAGTGATTCGAACTTGGTGTGATGTGATGTGACAACTTTCTTGATCTGACTAGATCTTTTCTCTACACATTTTCCTTTCGAGGTATAGTGATGCAGTGTCTATGTTCTCTTCAAGTTGATCTCTCACTCTTATTAAGTGAGATGCCGTTTTTCGATAACTATCTACTATCTCTTAAGGGATCTAGAACACATGTTTACCACTCATCGAGATTTCTCAAAGAATCTATTCTCAATCACTCGCTCTTTAATAAGTGTAAATAGCTTGAAACATTGTATAAACACTTTGGAATGCAGTTAGTACGGAATCATACTATATCAAATCATATCCTCCTACTATCAAAAACTCAGATATATACACATATATATATATACATTACTAACCATTAATCACCATATAAGAAAGTTATCTTTCTTAACCCCGAATCCAAAACTAAAACTAAACGAAATAAACACTCTCAAGTCTTAATTCTCTCAAGACAGTCTTCTTTCTCATCAATTCACAGCTTCGATATTCACCCAACCCAGTTTTTATAGCTATCTGATTTTTTTTTTCTTTTTTTTGTGTGTGTGTGTGTAAGATTATATATATACACACACAGTGAGAAGTGAGATCTTGATATTTGGAGATTATGATTCTATTGAACATCCATCTGTGTCTGAGAATTATAGTATGTATAGTATTTTTGGTTTTTTAATTTTCATTTTTATAATTTTCGCATGTGATATATAGAGAGAAGGACCTCGACTGCATTTTTACTCGTTCTAGGATCAAAGATTAAGGACCTAGAATCGAGAATCGAGAATCGGAAGTGATTTTTAGGAGAGGGAGATGGGTTAGGATTGAGATTGAGATTGAGATTGATATGATGTGATATTCTCTATATTTCTCACATATATTGATACCTACCTACCTTCCCAAAATATACATTCTATCCCTGACTCACAAATTCCAGAGAGTCCAGCTCGGCTTGTCTAGCGATCTGCAGATGGTAACCATACCCAGAAAACTCCCAATTCCCATTCAAATCCCGAAGTTCCTCGAAATCCGAAATCACATCGAGTGTAGTCTTACCCATCGCATCCGATCCGCTGCTTCTGGATTTGGCGAAAAGAAGATGTGTTCTTATATTTACTTCCTCTCTTCCAAACCTACCTACTTAGTACTCCCCGCGTCCGATAAATCAACACTCACGCGGAACTAAGCTATACGCTTCTTAGATATATCAACTTAGAGAACCGATGGCCTCATCGCAGGGCTTAGAAGAAAAAATTAAGATGACAACGGTATATTAAAGATTGTGAGATTGAAATATTTTCTTCGTCCTTGAATTTGATCGTTATGAATAAAGATTGGGTTGGATTCTTGTGCGGGAATTAATTAGGGCTTGATGTGAATTGAATGAATGATTGTAGGCTTTTCGGGTGTCTTTGATGGAAAGGAGGGGTTGGGGCGGTGAATTAGACGGCTTGTTTACAGTGAAGGGGGTTTGGTTTGGAGGGGGGGGAGAGGGGTAATCGGGATGGAAAAGAAGAATAAGTACGATACTGATGGCAGTGTAGTAGATATTTCACTGGGCTACGATATGGTGACGAGAATCTTGTTGTAATTATTTTAAACTTGCTGTCTTGCTAACTTGCTAAATACTAGAAAATACATCTGCAGGCAATGGATTAGATCGAATTAAGGCTGAAGTAATATCAGACATTAATTGGTTGCGGAAAAGGGGATGATGAAGACAGATAGAGAGAAAGTTAAGTATGTACAAATCGTCCCGGATGGTGATTTATTTCTTCTCATCCTTCTCATCTTCATTATCACTTTCCTCCTCATCTCCAGATTCATCTTGTGCCTCTTCTTCCTCGTCCGCCTTCTCCTCTTCAGCCAACTTCGCCCTTCTCATCTTTTCTTCCTGCTCCAATGCAATCCACTGACCATCTCTGTCCTCTTTAACATAATCAACTGCACTTCTCAATTGTCTATCATGGCTGACGATTCTTCCTCTACCGACCAAACTTGCCACGATTGCCGCTCCCACAATAAATGTCAAGACAAATCGATATGTGCTGTACCAAGGAGGACACCATCCTCGAACTGTGGCTCGGGCATCTGTGAAATAGAGGAATGTGAAAGCGGTGAATTGGGTAATTAAAGCATATTCGACTGGCATAAGGATAGTAGGCCACGCGACTGCAGGAGCAACAACTCCAATCATGTATCGACGGTAACTCTGTTGTCCGCCATAACCTGCATATTCAAGACCCCAGTGAATGGCACCGAGGAAAGAAATAATCTATTTGTCAAATTAGTTAAAAGTTTCCTGGTTTAGGATCGAGGAGTAGAACTTACAACAGCACCATATCCGACTTGAATAGGTGTAATATAATCCAATAATTGGTGAGCCGTCTCGGGTGAAAATAAGATACCTTGTCCAGTAGCATGAGCTTGATTGATATCATAAGCCAGATACACTGTAGAAGCCGATGTAGCAGCATAAGGTAAAACACCCGCAGCACCAATTATCAGAGATTCCTTGGGCACTTCTCGTAGAGCAAATGTTTCCTTGATAGTTTCCAAATCATCTTTCACCGATCCATGACTTTCGTGGTGTGGATTTTCTTCGAATACGGGACGAACGGAGGAATGCGATGATACGGATTCGGGATGTGCTTCGATGGTTTGTTTTCCGATCTTATCTTCTTCTTTGAAATTTATTTGGTCGGGTACGTAGGGAGGTTCAGATTTGGTGGCATAAAAGAGACGGGAGGAGAGGGTTGCAGGGCGTCTAGAAATCGATGTGCGGAAAGAAGAAATATCTTTGAGAGCTGCGGAAGCTTGAGAATAGCTTGCTCGAGAGGTAGGAAGTTTTGTGAAGCTCTTCAAAAGAGAGCGTGTAGCTGTTGTGCGAAGCATGGTTTTGATTTTTGCAACACCTTAAGGTTACCCCGCGATTAATTTATTTATGTGAGGTGTGTTCAAGAATGCAATTGGTATCAATGGGTATATTGAACAGGATCTTCAATGACAATGTCAATAGATCAGGAAGGAGGTAGGTATTATTGTGCACGCGGGTGTACGAGAGAAAATTCGAAGAAAGGAATGGAAAGCATCATTGATTGTGTGAACAGTCCGTACTTGTACTTGTGGTCTAACTCTCTAGGTAATTAGTAAACAGAGAGAAAACAAACCGGGAAATCTGAATGGAGGCAGTTTATTATTATTGGCTTTGGTGTGGAACAATTACATATTAGAGAGATTAAATTATTATATTTGGTCGATTACCACGAGAAGTATGATAGCGATATGGATACTGTATTAATGAATAATGGAGAATGGAACCCGAAGATAGTTTGTTTCGTCATGGGGAATGGCTTGGGAACAAAATCCGAAGAAAGATATCTCTTCATATATCATATACGTCATCGTTGATAGCTTCAGCTGGTGGGCAACTGACTGTGCCCTCTGGCCCTGTCGTGTGTGTGTGTGTATGAGAGAGGATGCAAGGTCAACTTAGCGAACAGTGACAATACAAGCCTTCAGGCCTCAAGAGAAAGAAGTCTGCGCACCAATGAACACAATCCATACAATCATCAGATGGACGGGATGATGTTCAAAGGGTTGGAAGGAAGGATTACAGGTTTTCTCTTTTCGGGGAATCCATTTTACGTGGCATGATCATTCTTGTATTCTGATTATGATTGTGATCTTCACTTCTATTCAAAGTGACTTCTAACATCATACCACCTGCATCGTACATATACACCATTCCAATAATTCGTTATTCCTTCGCGACTGCCTTTATTGAGCGTGCTTTTGTTGGATTCCAGAATATTTAATTACACAAACCCGTGGGACACTGCAGCTGGGGGCGATTTTCGAATACCCCTCTCATACGATCCATTCACATATATCACCACCACCACCAACACAATAGAACGAATCGTGTTCTGCCACGAAGAACGAAGAAAGTCTCGATTCAATAGTGATGGATTAAATGATCGGAAATCTACCTTTTCCACAATAATCTTCGCAAATTCGCCATCGCGGATGCCAACCATCATCTTTCGAACGAAATAATCCAGAGCTTCCCGGCCCGGGTGACGGCAAGAGGAACTCAAGATGTTGGAAGGCTTGGTTGCATCGTTGCTGAATCGATTTCTGGGAATGTACATACGGAATTTCGACCCTGGACAACTGAAAGTAGGAATTTGGTCGGGAGATGTGAAGCTACGGGATTTGGAGCTACGACGAGAGGCCTTGGATCAATTAAAGCTACCTATAAATGTGGTGGAGGGACATTTGGGACAACTTACCTTGAAGATACCATGGTCGAATCTGCGAGGTCAACCTGTACAAGTCGAAATCGAAGATATCTATGTACTTGCGTCGCCGAAAGAAGATGCAGAGTGGGATGAAGAGGAAGAGGAGAGGAGGAGGCAGGTTGTTAAGATTGAGAAATTGGACAGTGCCGAGATGCTTAAGGATAGAAATCAGGAGGGTATGAGTTTAGAAGAACAGCAGAAGAATCAGAGCTTCACGGATAGTTTGGTTACCAAGATCATCGACAATCTCCAAATTACGGTCAAGAATATTCACGTACGATATGAGGACTCAATTTCGGCACCTGGTCACCCATTTGCTCTCGGGCTTACATTGCAAGAGTTCAGCGCTATCAGTACGGATGGTAACTGGAAACCGACGTACATACAAAACTCCTCTGGAACCACACATAAGCTTGCCACTCTTGGCGCTCTAGCTGTGTACTGGAATACGGATACAGAATTGTTGAGCACTGGGAGAGAGGCCGAGGTATCTACATCTACGGAGGTCGCATCGCACGATGAAATGTTGACGAGATTTAAAGAGATGATTGTGCGAGGTGAAGATGCAAAGCAAGCCAATCATCAGTTTATCCTAAAGCCTGTTAGTGGTCAGATGAAGCTCGAGATGGACAAAAGCGGTAAGATAGAAATACCACATATGAAGGCTGGGCTATTGTTCGACGAAATTGGAGTGGTTCTTGATGATCATCAATATCGAGATGCTTTGATGATGGTTGACTTATTCCATTACTTCCTTCTTCATCAAGAGTATAAGAAATTCCAGCCGAAAGGTGTTCGGCCAAAGGAGGATCCACGTGCTTGGTTCAAGTTTGCTGGTAATGCTATCTTAAGTAAGATTCATGAACGCAATCGTCGCTGGTCATGGGCCTTCTTCAAGGAGAGACGAGACGATCGAGTTCGTTATATTGAGCTCTTTAAGAAAAAGAAGAAGCAAACCGAACCATTGTCACCTGAAGAAAATGAGGAGGTGGATAAGCTTGAGTGGAAACTCGACTATGAAGATATACGCTTCTGGAGATCCTTGGCTAGAAACCAATTGAAGAAGGAGAATGTTGGTATTAAAAAGGCAGCACCGAAGCAAAAGCAAGGGTGGGTTGCGTGGGCTTGGGGCGCGAAACAACAAGAACAGGAAGAAGACGAAGAAACCACCATGACCGATGAACAGCGGAAAGAATTGTATGACGCCATCGATTGGAACGAGAAAACAGCAATTGCGGAAAGTATCGATTTACCAAAAGAGACCGTTAAGATGCAAATCGAGGCATCGCTCAATACCGGTAGCTTCACACTCAAGCGTGATCCTCATAATAATACGGTCGAAGTTCTCAGTCTCTACTTTGATGCTTTCAAGGCAAAATTCTTACAGCGACCCGAGTCAATGTTAGCGGATGTAAGCCTTGGAGGCCTGCGAGTCAACGACGGCACGACTCCTGATAGTCTATTTCCTCAAATCGTTCGTGTCAAAGATGCTCCTGAAACACCCAAGACGAAGCTTCTGCTTAATGGTGATGATGATGAGTCGGAAGATACTCCTGATCCATTCTTCCAATTCCAAGTCGAAACAAATCCCTTGCATGATGCCGGTGATGTTGCAGTGACCGGAAAACTCAAGCCGCTTGAGATTATTTGGAACCCACATTTCCTCGTGGGTATAATTCAGTTTTTCAAACCACCAGAAAGACATATGGAGTCTATCGGGGCTCTCATGGAATCTGCTGGAGCAACAGTTGAAGGACTTAGGCAACAGACGCGAGCGGGACTTGAGTTTGCACTCGAGGAGCACAAAACAATCAATGCCAAGTTGGATCTTCAAGCACCTCTCATCATTGTGCCAGAAAACATTACTTCGAGCAAAACGACTTGTCTGATTCTCGATGCAGGTCACATCAGTGTGAACAGTGAGCTTGTGGATGAGGAAACAATGCGTGAGGTGCAATCAAAGCAGAAGACAGTTTATACCGATGCAGATTATAAACGCCTAGAATCTCTCATGTACGATAGATTCGTGGTCAAGCTATCCAATACACAAGTTCTCATTGGACCTTCCATCGAAGATACGAAGGCACAAGTCATGGCAAAGGAAGATCCTCAATCGATGCGCGTTGTCGAGAAGATCAACATTGATTTCATTGTTGAAACTTCAATCATACCAAAAGCGCCAAACTTGACCAAAGTAAGAGTCTCGGGTCGTCTACCTGTACTACATGCTTCTGCTTCAGACAAGAAATATAAAAGCTTGATGAGTATTATCAACGCAGCTATTCCAAATGTGAATGCAGAGGAACTTCCAGCACAGACATTAGCCAAGAGTCGCCGAACTTCAACTCTGTCAATAAGAGCACCCTCCTCGTCGAAGCCAAGGGATCGGGCACAATCTACATCGTTCAACTTCTCTAGACAAGAGGCTATCATCCTTCAAGATGAATCGTCTGACGAAGATGATGATGATGATGATGATGATGATGAATTTCAAGACGCTCCTAGCGGAAAAGAGAGCGATAAACTCAAACTGGAACAAAAGAATTTTGAGCTCAAATTTGAAGTGGAACGACTTCAGGGCTCACTCTATCGAAGTGATCCGGAAGGCAGGAAGCCAGATCAACTCTTGGTGGAAGTAGTTGCTGAGAACTTTGGCGTAAATCTTGTTCTTCGTCCATACGATCTGATTGTGGAAACCGTCCTGCAATCCGTAGTCGTGGATGACTTCATTGATAATCCTCCCGCTGAATTCAAATCGATAGTTTCTTCTGGAGACATGGAATCAGAAGACGAAACCGCCCTCATCGACGTGAAAGTGGTGAAGGTAAATCCACATTCGCCGGAGTTCATGCCAAAATATGACGGAGTCGAGATTAATGTAGATGTCTCAGTATCCACAATTAACTTGGTGGTTACTCGCAAGACTTTGTTGACTCTACTCGATTTCATCTTGATTACATTTACAAACCAAGACGGCCCACCTCAACTACCTGCACCTACCAAGGAAAGCACGGATGATCTACTAGCTGTGCCGGATGAGTCGCCGTTTGAAGAAGAGGTAGTACCACCAGCCAAGAACACTGAATTGTCAGTTCGTGTTAAGGTTGACTTGAAGAGTATACGCTTGATACTTAATAACGATGGCATCCGATTGGCCACTCTTTCGTTCAACCATGCGGACGTAGGTATCTTCATATTAGGAAATACCTTGCGGATTGGCGCAAAGTTGGGAGATCTATCTTTAGTAGATGATGTCAATCTCGGAGCCTCCAGCGATTCCAATCTTCGAAAATTGATTGCTATTGAGGGAGACGACTTGGCCGATTTCCGATATGAGACCTTTGATGCTAAAGGCACTTCATATCCTGGATATGACTCCTCTATCTACCTGCGCGCAGGTTCTATTAAAGTTAATTTCCTTGAAGAGCCATATCGTAAGATTATTGAGTTTTTGGTCAAATTTGGCAAGATGCAAGCTCTTTTCAATGCTGCCCGACAAGCAGCAGCAAATCAAGCTTCTCAACTTCAGCAAAGTACCAGCCGCATTAAATTCGATGTCAACATCAAAACACCTATTGTTGTTTTCCCTCGTGTCATGAATGCAGGGAGTGCTAAAAGAGATATGATAACTGCTTACCTGGGTGAGATTTATGCAGAAAACAAATTTGTCCCAATTGATGACTCGAAGGATGCGACTATTGCGATGAAGCTCACCGCTGGCATTAGAAATATTCGATTAACATCTGACTTCCATTTCCCCGATGAGAAGACAGAAGAGCTTGAACTCATTGACAAAGTTGATTTGGGTTTCTTGGTCACTTATGCTGAACATACTGCTGGAGCACTTCGTCCGGATCTGGAGATCGAAGGTCACATGTCCGACTTCAATCTGCGAATTACACAAATGCAATTGAAATTTCTTCTCGAGTTGGCAAAGTCTGTTCCAGGCGCCTTCATGGTGGATTCGGATATCAGTGAACAACAAGCTGTAGACGAGGTGGCTAGCCCGACGGCGAA